TGTATTTTTCCACCCTTGGAAACCTCCTTCACTGATGTGGGAACTCCACCAGAAGTTCCCTCCTGGGGTCTCTCTTTGGAATTAAAGTATGGGACGCCAGGAAGGCTGCAGATACTGGAGAGATGACTGCTCCCCCTCTCTCTATCTTTCTGTAGCCTCCTTGAAACCCCCACCTGGGAGGAGTGCCTCCTGAGGTCTCCATTGAATAGAAGGCTGAGAAGCTGTCAGCCTTGCAGGGTAGTCCAGACAAGAAGCACACCCAGAAGTACTAGCTCTGGTATTATTGTAAGGCTACATTAACAGAACCTTACAAGTCTGAAAGAACATCTCTCTCCCCACCCCTCACCTTTACAGTCCAAAAAACTAGGGAGTGTCCCTTCTGAGACATTTGCCACACCCCCATTCCTTCTGCAGGCTCAGTCTGACCGTTGCCTAGTCTGCGGCTCTTCCTCCTATCTCCCAAGGTCATTCCTGCGTACCATTACAGAAGCCAAGGAAGATGCAGATGCTGGAGAGGAGATTCACTCATCTCCATCTCTCATCCTCTGCAGCTTCTCTTGCTCCCCAGATTTTCCAATCTGAAGAAGGAATCTGGGAGGAGATTCTGCTGATGTTTTCTCTTGGGACTGAAAGGAAGCATGGCAAACAGGAAGACTCAGAAGGCTGGGAGGAAGATTGTGCCATGAAAGATAGGATCTTCACATCCAACCTGGCTCGTAATGCACCCCAGCCACAAGATTTGTTCTTGTCCTTAGAAAAAGAGCACCAGAAGCACTCTTCCTCCTTTGATTAAATTAAAAAAAAAAAGTTGGGAAAAAGAAAAAGCAGACTGTACTTTCCTCACAGCATTTTTTTCCTCTCCTCCAGATGCAATCATTGATAAGGCTACTAGATGGCACTGCGTGACCATAAATGACTTGTAAGGATTCTTATTTTCCCCCCACCCCCCAATAATCTCTGGTTATTTCTGAAAAGAAATAAAGGTAGAGGGCAGCCTAAGAGAAGGGATGTGATATTTCAAGCTTTATCGTGACGTGGGGTTGTTTGCTGCTAAGTTTAACTGGGGAATGGGGATACTCTAATTGCAATGATACAGTACCGGGAGGAACATCTGGGCACCCATTTCTCAGCTTCTTCTCCCACAGAAATAAAAATCAGGAGGCATCCAGGAGTGTTTATCAAGGAAGAAAGCCTTTGTAAGACGTTTTTAAAATCTACAGAGCGCCCATGTCTCTGTTAATTTCATGCCAACATCACGGAGCTATGGCAAGTGCCCGGAGTGAAAAAACCCCAAGAGCTATTTTTCAAACACGCCAAGGCATAAAGATGTCAGCTCAAACTGTTTACTAATTAACACTTAAAAAGACACAAATTAGATATGCATGGGTAAGAGCAATTATAATCAAGACCGATCTTTTCAGTCATTGGGGAAGGCGGGGATCGAGGGTGGGGGGAGATAGCCCAAACTCTCAACTCAAAGATACGGAGAGAGTAAAAACCCTTCTGAAATCTTGCCAGTTAGCAAATATGTTTCACTTAAAGACCATTACATATGACTACGCTCTAGAGGGTTGGCTGCTAAAAGGGAGAAAAGCAAAGGAAGAAGAGATGGCAGAAACCACACAGCATCCCTGAAGATGTGAATCAAATGAATTCAGATTCTTTTCCTCTCAGTTCTGGCTCTTTCATCTTATCTATCTATCTATCTATCTATCTATCTATCTATCTATCTATCCATCCATCCATCCATCCATCCATCCATCCATCCATCCATCCATCCATCCATCCATCCATCCATCCATCCATCCATCCATCCATCCATCCACCTACCTACCTACCTACCTCTATCTTTCTATCTTTCTACCTTTCTACCTTTCTACCTTTCTATCTTTCTATCTATCTATCTATCTATCTATCTATCTATCCATCCATCCATCCATCCATCCATCCATCCATCCACCTACCTACCTACCTACCTCTATCTTTCTATCTTTCTACCTTTCTACCTTTCTACCTTTCTACCTTTCTACCTTTCTATCTTTCTATCTATCTATCTATCTATCTATCTATCTATCTATCTATCTATCTATC